GTTATACTGATTATAATAGCGCTTGGGCTGAAGGAGCCCCTCCTGAGTCTACACACACTCTCAGTGAGCGCAGTTGATTATATTGAGGGATGGATCTTCCCTAGACATGGATCTTGTCCGAAGCATTATATACCTGGGGATGGATCTTCCCCACAGGCTGGATTGACCCTACTCGGTACTGGATGACTGATGGTCAGTCGATGTATATATTCCGGGATGGATATTTTCTGGGTCGGATTGGCCATATATAGTACTGAGTGATTGAGCAATTGAGAGTATGAGCACATGAGGCTGTCAACATGGTGCATCACATACAACATATGCATTGGCATGTAATAGTAGAGAAGTTATATGCTTCTTATCATTCAGATTTGATCTATTTTACTGTTTTGAGTTTATCTGTTGAACTTGAAATCATGCCTACGTTTCTGCACTGTTATTTCTATATTGAACTGTGCCGGTTGAGTTCGTCACTACTTTCAGTCCAAAGTTTGGATTTGTTACTTATTGAGTTGGTTGTACTCACGCTACACCGTGCACCTCGTGTGCAGATCCAGGTGCTTCCAGTTACGGTGGCTGTTGAGTGTGGAGTCAGGATCACGGGAGACTATCGAGGTAGCTGCATGAAGTTCGCAGACCATGGCCCTCCTTTGTTATCTTTACGTGTATTTCAATTTTTACTCTTTAGACATTGTATTAGACTATCTTCCGTTGTAGATGCTCATGTACTCGGTGACACCCCAGTTTTGGGAGAGATTGTATTGGGTTGCGTATTTATTTATGTTTTTCAAAGGTTTCCTTAATTATTAAATGCTTCCGTAATTTTTCAAAGATTTTGGTTATGTTGAAATAGTTAAGTAATTGGTTTGCCTAGTTCCACGATAGGCACCATCACGACGATTGGTTTTGAGTCGTGACAAGTTGGTATCAGAGCCTAGGTTACATAGGTCTCACGAGCCATGAGCAGGTTTAGTAGAGTCTTGCGGATTGGTATGGAGACGTCCGTACCTATCTTCGAGAGGCTGCCGAACCCTTAGGAAATTTCACATTCTTGTCTTCTTGTCGTGCGAATTTGTTGATTCCGATAACTAAACTTCTGTTACTCTATTCTCTCATAGATGGTGAGGACACGTACTACTGGGCAGGATGGACAGCCACCAGTACCACCAGTTAGGGCCGCGAGAGGGCGAGGTCACGGTAGAGGCAGCGGTAGGGGCAGAGGTGCAACTCGTACAACAGCTAGGGCAGCACCTTCAGACCCACCAGTCGCTCCAGCTCAGGAGCAGGTACCCAATACAGTTGAGCCAGTGGGGCCAACTCAGGCACCAGCTGTGTCCATTGTGATTCCAGGACTTCAGGAGACTTTAGCCTAGATATTGACGGTTTGCACAGGCCTTGCACAGGTGGTATCGGCTCAAGCCGCGCCAGCCACTTCTCAGGCCGGGGGAGGCACTCATACCCCTATTGCTCGTACTCCAGAGTAGGTAGTGCAGGGACTTCAGATACCGGGGGTACCACCAGTCCAGCTGGTTGCAGCTGCTCAGGCCCAGGTGATCCCCGTTATGGATGATGATGAGCAGAGGAGACTTGAGAGATTTGGGAGGCTACGACCTCCATCATTTAGCGGTGCTGAGTCAGAGGATGCTCAGGCTTTCTGGATAAGTGCGAGCGGATACTTCAGAGAGCGGGTATTCTGGAGACTAGTGGGGTCTCATTCACTACTTTTCAGTTTTCTGGGGCTGCCTTTAGATGGTGGGAGGCTTATGAGAGGTGCAGGCCGGTCGGTGCAGCACAACTTACATGGCAGGAGTTCTTCGTTCTCTTCTTGGAGAAGTTCGTGCCGCAGTCTCACAGAGAGGAGCTGCGCAGACAGTTTGAGTAGCTTCGTCAGGATGGCATGTCTGTGATGCAGTACGAGATGAAGTTTTCTGAGTTGGCTCATCACACAGTTTAGTTGGTTCCCACTGATAGGGAGAGGATCAAGAGGTTCATTGATGGCCTCATATATCAGCTGCGGTTGCTTATGATTAGGGAGAGGGTATCTGGTGTAACTTTTGATGAGGTTGTCGATATTGCTCGGTAGATAGAGATGGTCCGCAGCTAGGAGCGGGTTGAGAGGGAGGCCAAGAGGCCTCGGGGTCAGGAGGTTTTAGTGGTGTTCCTTCTGGAGGTCAGTTCCACCACGGCCGGGGTCGTCCTTATAGGCATGCTCAGGCGACTCGTCCAGTTCACCTTGGTGCATTATCTGGCCATGGTTCATACGCTACACATCAGGGCCAGTCATCTCTCAGTGCCCTTCCAGCTCAGAGTTCATCCCATGCACCTTCAGTTCAGGGCTCATCGGCATCGGGTTCTTCTAGCAGGTATTCTGTTGCTCGGGGCTCCCTCCAGTCCCCACTGCGATTCGTAAGGAGGGGTTGTTTCGAGTGTGGAGATATGGGTCACATCAAGAGGTATTGTCCCCGCCTTACAGGAGGTCCAGCTCAATAGAGGAGTCAGCCTACGACTTCAGAACCCATTACTTCACTACCTACTCAACCAGCTTGGGGTGGAGCTCAGTCAGCTAGGGGTCGCCCTAGAGGGGGAGGCCGATCAGGTGGCGGTCAGGCTCGATTCTATACTATTCTTGCCATACTAGATGCTATTGCTTCAGATGCAGTGATCACAGGTATTGTCTCAGTTTGCCACAGGGAGGCTTCTGTATTATTTGACCCTGGTTCCACTTATTCATATATATCATCGTATTTTGCTCATCATTTGGATATGCCCCGTGAGTCCTTAGTTTCATTTGTTCATGTCTCTACGCCCGTGGGCGATACTATTATTGTGGACCGTGTATATCGGTCGTGTGTGGTGACTATTGGGGGGATTGGAGACTAGAGTTGATCTTATATTACTTAGTATGGTTGATTTCGACGTGATCTTGGGTATGGATTGGTTGTCTCCATGTCATGATGTTCTAGATTGTCACGCTAAGATCGTGACATTGGTGATGTCGGGGTTGCCGAGGATTGAGTGGAGAGGTTCTCTAGACTATGTTCCCAGTAGAGCGCATATTTTGCGGAGACATATTTACCACAAAAGGTGAAAAAAACAGCTACAAAAATGGTTCCACAAGAATAAAAATTTAGTTGGGTCACCACTGCTATTCACCTTTAGCGGCGACTACTATCGCTGCCAAAATATTATTTTCAGTGGTAAGATCATATCGCCACTATAAATGATTGTTAGTAGCGACTCGTGTCGCCACAAAATAATAAACCATGAAAGACACAATAACTTTCTGTAGAGACTAAAGTCACTGCAAAAGAAATAAACCAACAGTGGCAACTTTAACATTGCAACAACTACTAATATTTTGTGACAAAATAATGTCGCCACTAAAACTTATTTTCTCAAAAACTATAATGACCAAAATTATATACATTTCCAGCAGGAACGTAATTCTCTAAATTTTAATATCTGGATCTTCACATCAATTGACTACCAATATTAAAAGCAACCAATAATATTTAAAAAATACCAAAAGAATTTCTCAAATCGAATATTATAAATATTTTCATTACTAAAAAATCAATTCCATATATACTACACGACAATTCATTGTGCATTGTAATTGTACGCATATACATATCCCAAAAAAGATAAAATATTAAGTGCCTTNTCTAAGTTTAAAGATGATGTGCTTCTTTTTATCTAAAAAGAGTTATTGGACTTTCATATCTAGGACAAACTTATGCTTCATTGGCATCTTGTCAACTCCCTCAATTCCATTTACATCCTTCTCAATTTTTCTAGCAGATCATATGGATAGTTTATTTGCAGCTAGTTGCAAATTGCAATCTATTAATTGCTCCATGTTCTGGTGTTAAAGTTTTCAAATCATCTTGAAGATAAATACAGAAAAAGGTACACACATAATATCAAGTCATGAAGCTAAGCTCATTTAAAGTGCCAAGGCATGTTTCTTTCTGCTTAGTTCTGGTAAATTTTCTAGTGCTGAAATATTTACTGGTCAGTTTAATAGTTAAAAAAAATTTAATTAGCTGAGAAAAGTATTGTGCTTGGTTACTTGTCTAATGCAGTCATTCTAATGCTATTGGTATATGTTGTATTGATAACATTTTGGATTGATAGGGTTAAAAGAGTTGAGGGCGAGATTAAGGTATTGTCTCATATCAAATAGGTTAATTGAAACACTCAAACAAATGCTTGAAACAAAAGACATTATGTACACGCCATAGGATACATTAATAGGTAACTAATAAAAGTAAATAACCAAATAATAAACACGAAGAGGTAATAAAACATGGGATCTTTCTACTTAAGTTAAATATAAGAGGGAATATTTGACCATCCAAAATGAAGTATTCAAATCTTTTTGATAGTTACTACCATAATATCATTCATTTCCTCTGGAAAAGAAATCTAAACTCATTATTGCCTTTGGCGAGACATGAATGAAATTTTTTATTCTACTTTGCTCCTTTGACTATTCAAAGCCATTCAGAGTTTTGTTACATTTGAGAAAAACAGAGAAGTTTTCTTTTTTTAGTAAGAAGAAAAGAAGGGGGGATGAACACAAGATTGAGATTTTGATGTGCAATTCCTTCGGGCACTTACAGAAGAGAGCAGAAGACACACTTGAAAATTTTTCTATTTTTTTGGTGCAATCGTTTTAAAATCAGTAAAGTAAATGAAATCTTTTTGTTCAATCATTTTCAAAATGCAATATGCATTACAACTGATGGACAGTGCTCTCCTTTTTGATGAAATTACTTTCTATACTATGTCATAGAATAGAAGTTATCTATTTATTTTTATGGTTTATATTTTGAGATCTAAAAACTCATCTTTTGGCAGATTGAGGGAGGTTCTAAACTTGGAACAAACATGTAGAGAAAATAGAGAAGCATCTACTATGCTCAAGACGCATCTAAATTTTCTGTTAATTAAGTCTACTTATTACCAAATGATATGCTGGATCTTTCCAGGAACACTTTAATGATATTGAGAAAGACTCACTTTAATGCACATGTTACCACTACAGATGATATGATGAATCTTTCTAGGAACAAGCATAGATTTAAACTTAGCGGGAAGTTCAGCAGCCCTATGCGGGATGTGAAGATCGCCCAATGCTAATACCAGCACCATCCTTCATTAAACCCGATCAACTACTCAAAAATTCAATATACGATCGACAATCTGAGATACCAGGACATCCCATCAAGGTTGCACACTGAATTTTCTTTAAGAATTTTCCATTTCGTCTCGCAATAATTTGTTTAAGTATTAATCACAGCCTTAAATATCGTATGCTTCTTTCCCAATGGCCAGAGCTTGCATGGGACTCCCCAAATTTCAGTTAACATATACTCTGTAATCAACCATATCATACAACACCTAGTAATTGACCATATCACACAAACACTTTTATAGTCATAGGTAGGAGTAAATCAGTAGAAACAGCAGCAACAACGCCTGAAGCAGATATCAGAGAATGATTGATCAAAATTCGTCCCTCCTCTCTCACTTTTTCCTCGTCCAGTTTCTTTCATTTCCTACAACATCACATAAAAAGAAAATGATTGATCAGACTAGAGAAAATATTAATTCAAATAGCAGAGAATTAAAATCAATTAATTGATGAAATATTGGAGTAAAGCACCAATTTTACTTCACCACTCATTCTATTATGAAATTAAAGCTTCAAACATTACCAATTAATTTCATTCAGTCTAATTAGGACAAAAATACAGAGAATTGTTCAAAATAAGATGTAGACATAAAGCTACAAGCATCAAGAACTAATTTTATTGTAAGTCTGATAAGGACAAACATACAGAGAACTTTTAAAAATAAAATATAGGCACAAAGCTTCAAGCATCAAGAACTAATTTCATTGTTAGTTTAATATGGACATGCTTGGATATCGGCCTCAGTGTTCTTTGGACTTCCATATGGACTTACCGCACTTAGGACATGCTTGGATATCGGCATAATCACGCCAATATAAAATACAATCATTCCGACATGCATCTATTTTGGTATACCCCAAGCCGAGGACACAGAGCTTTCTTTGCTTCATAGAAAGAATTTGGCACAAATGACCTCTTGGGAAAAACTTCTTTAAAGAAGCTCAGTAGTGCATCCATAGATTTGTTGCTCCAATGGTTAAGACATTTCAAGTGAAGTAGTTAACAACACAAGACAACATCGAGACTTTTTTACAACCAGAATAAAGTTCTGTTTCAGCATCTTCTAACAATTTGTAGAACTTTGTTTCATGTATATTTGGCTCTTCGTTGTCCTCTAAATTATTATTATTATCCTCCACATTCGTATATCCACAAGCATCGTGAATCATTTCACTAATATTATCCTCTTCAATGCTATCATCTTCTGCTTTATCATTACTAACTACAATAATAGAAGTTTTAACTCTAACTAACACTTCTCCATGCAAGTCCCACACTTTATGAGAATCCCAGAAACCCTTCCTCAATAAATCACCTCTTACACTAACCAGTAGCTTGAACACGATATTCTTTACAAGGACACCGAATCATAGTGCTCACAGTTGGTTGACCGAATGCCCAATTAAGAAAGTTGTCTACTCCATCTCTATACCTTTGGTCGACTCTATTCCTAATATTCAACCAACCTTTATCCATCCTTTCTATTTAAAAAAAAAGTTAATTAAATAAAAGTGCAGTGGTGATAATAGTCAAAATATATATAATAACTAACATATAAGAGAAATGAACAAAATCAATTCAGCTCTAAATAAAATGAGAAATATTGCAATAAGTTTCTACTCTTACACACCTTTTGGTTACAAGAAAATTAACCAGTTTCATAAAAACATAAATGTATACTGCCACATCTACAAACACCTTATTGATAAACAAATTTAACATCTCTTACCCAGCTAGACTCAAAAAGTATTAAATTGATAGGCTCTAAACTCCTTTTTTTAGATGATCAAGAAAGCATTTTACATTCAAATTATTGTTTAAGTAACCAAACACATGCATTTAATTCTAATGTAAAAAATGTGTAGAATGTGTCAAAAGAACATCAGTCGCAAAGAAGTATTATATTTTCTTATAACCTTACAGTAACATATATGCGCCTTATAAAATTTAAAAGTATCTATCTACTGATTTAGGCATATAGCCATAAAAGAAAAAAAAATAAGAATGGAATACCAACATGCAATAGGTCTCTCAACAAGAAGCTTTAAACTTACCCAAACTGAGATAGTCGAGTTCTGACAAGACTGAAAATCAACAATAACAACAACAACAACAACAACAACAAATAGGCTTCAAATGAGTCTTTCTGTGCCATTTATTTTGTATTCCTGTAGATTATCAAATGGTTCAGAGAAATTCGAGATGCAATCTAAGAATACAAATGTAAAATCACTGAAATAACAATAATCCCTAACTGCATGTTGAAAATTTTGCCTTAGAGTATCCTTATAAATAACCCCAAACATAAATTTATATATTAACTGGTATGGGTATAAACAAAAAGGAAAGTATTAGGGTCACTAGAAGGTATATGAGAGAAATCGGTTGTGCAGTTATTCCTCCACAAAATCGATATGGATTTGAACAACAGCTATATGAGATTTTTGTTCCAAAAAAAAAGGAAAAGATTAGGAATTTGAACACATACCTGATAAATGAGATTCACATTTTGATTAGAGAGATTTAGAGTTGGGTAAAATTTTAGCAGAGAAGTAATTTAGAGAGGGGGAGGGATTTCTAGAGAGGAGTGATTTCTAGTAGAGAAGTGTTTATGGCTTTGTGTGTCTCTGTTTCGTTTCTTTTAATTAGAATGAGATTTTTTAATTTTATTTTGTTATTTTAAATTAAAATATCTAGGGTATAATAGTGACCCAGTTGCTCCAAAATAACTTTAGTGGTGACAAATTAAAAGTTGCCACAAATAATATGGAGCCAAAATTTGATTCTTAGCGGGACCGAAAATTTTAGCCACATCAGAGGCGACCTCAGAAAAGTCGCTGCCAAATATTTATCTTCTGTAGCAACCTTTACAGTCGTTGCTAATAGTATACCTGTTATAGCAACCTATAGGGTCGCCGCTATATGTTGCCACGAAAAATTCAAATTTTTGTAGTGTAGATTCTACATTGGAGGTGCTACATAAGAGGAAGCAGACTATTGGGTGGATATTGGCGGATATTCGCGGGATAAGCCCCGCATTTTGCATGCATACGATCAACTTAGAGGAAGGCGCCAAACCATCTATTGAACATCAAAAGAGACTCAATGAGGCTATGCACGAAGTTGTCAAGAAGGAGATTATCAAGTGGTTGGTGCCGGGGTTGTCTACCCCATTTTCGATAGTTCGTGGACTTCTCCGGTTCAATGTGTCCCAAAGAAGGGGGCATGACGGTGGTCACCAATGACAAGAATGAGTTGATTCCTATAAGAACGTTGACCGGTTGGAGAGTATGTATGGATTATCGCAAGCTCAACAAAGTCAAAAGGAAGGATCGTTTTGCACTTCCCTTCCTAGACCAAATTCTTGATAGGTTGGCCGGTCGTGCTTTCTATTGCTTTCTTGATAGGTATTTGGGCTAGAACCAAATACTTATTTCTCCGGAGGATCAAGAAAAAACAACCTTTACATGTCCCTATGGTATTTTTGCTTTCAAGCGGATGCCATTAGATTTGTGTAATGCACCGGCGACTTTTCAAAGTTGTATGATGACTATCTTCACGGACATAGTGGAGGACTACCTTGAAGTTTTCATGGATGACTTCTCGGTAGTTGGAGATTCTTTTGATGATTGTCTTGTGAATTTAGATAAAGTGTTGGCAAGATGTGAAGAAATAAATTTTGTGCTCAACTGGGAGAAGTGTCATTTCATGGTCGAGGAAGGGATTGTCCTTGGCCATAAAATCTCAAAGAATGGAATTGAAATTGACAAGGCAAAGATTGAGGTGATTTCTAAACTTTCACCTCCAACTTCGATGAAGGGTGTGCGGAGTTTCTTAGGCCACGCGAGGTTTTACCAGCGTTTCATCAATGATTTCTCTAAGGTGGTGAACCCGTTGTGCAAAATCCTTGAGAAAGATGCTAAGTTTAACTTCAATGATGATTGCATGAGAGATTTTGAATTGTTAAAGTTCAAGTTGACAACTACTCCCATCATCACCGCTCCAAATTGGAGTGTCCCTTTTGAACTTATATGTGATGCAAGTGACGTAGCGGTTGGGGATGTTTTGGGGCAACGCATCAACAATATTTTTTACCCGGTCTAATATGCTAGTAAGACCATGAATAGTGCCCAAGTCAACTACACCGTTACGGAGAAAGAGCTCCTTGACATTGTATTTGCAATTGAGAAGTTCCGCTCGTACTTGATGGGTGCAAAAGTTATTGTCCACACAGATCATGTGGCACTTCATTATATTATGAGCAAGAAATATTCCAAAGCTCGGTTGATGAGATGGGTGCTTTTGTTGCAAGAGTTTGATATTTTCATCCAAGATAGAAAAGGGAGTGAAAATCAAGTGGCAGACCACTTATCTCGTTTGGAGGAGGAGGGGAGTCCGCATGATGGCCTTGAAGTCAATGACTCCTTTCCCGATGAGAAACTCTTGGACATTTCAATGAATGAGGTGCAAACTCTTGGTTCACGGATCTAGCAAATTTCCTTGTGTGTGGTAAATCTCGGATGAGTTCTCTTCAAACCAAAGGAAGAAGCTCAAACGGGATTATCAAGATTATTATTGGGATGAACCATACCTTTTCCGGATTTGTACAGATGGGGTGATTAGAAGATATGTACCGGAAGAAGAGCAATGTGAAATTCTTGGGGCTTGTCATTCTTCGCCATATGGTGGTCATCATGGTGGAGCAAGAACGGCGGCCAAAGTACTAAGTTGCAGTTTCTATTGGCCCACTCTTTACAAGGATGCAAGTGATTTAGTGAAAAGATGTGATGAATGTCAAATGGCCAGTGGAATCTCAAAGAAAAATAAAATACCCCTCACCACCATTTTGGAGATTGATATTTTTGATGTGTGGGTTATTGACTTCATGGGTCCTTTTATGAGTTCTTGTGGAAACACCTACATCTTGGTCGCTGTTGATTATGTGTCTAAATGGGTTGAGGCCATTGCTATACCCAACAATGAGGCGAGAAGTGTGGTGGCATTCTTGAAGAAGAATATTTTCACAAGGTTTGGTACTCTGCGGGCTATTATAAGCGATGGGGGGTCACATTTTTGCAACAAGGCTTTCGAAACTTTACTTAGCAAGTATGGTGTTACTCATAAAGTCATGACTCCCTATCATCCACAAGGGAGTGGTCAAGTGAAAGTCTCCAACTGGGAGATAAAGAGTATTTTATCCAAAACAATGAATGCTAACCGGATGGATTGGTCCAAGAAGCTTGATGATGCATTATGGGCTTATCGGGCGGCTTACAAAACACCTATCGTAATGTCGCCATACCGGTTGGTGTTTGGCAAAGCTTGTCATCTTCCGGTGGAACTAGAGTACAAGGCCATGTGGTCTATAAAGAGGTTGAGTCTTGATTGGGATGTAGTCGCTAACTTGAGGGTTGCACATTTGAATGAATTGGATGAGTTGCGGTACCGTGCTTATGCAAGTTCGTCCTTGTACAAAGAAAAGATGAAATATCTTCATGACAAATTGTAATGACCCGGCCAGTCGTTTCGATAATTATAGCCTCATTTTCCCCATTTCTACTTCTTTTTGTGTTATTCAGCTATATTATGTTATGTCGGGTTAGTTGGTTCGGGACCGGAGTGGTTTCAGAGTGAATTGAGACACTTAGTCTCTTAAGTAGAAACTTAAGTTGGAAAAGTCAACCGGATGTTGACCTATGTGTAAACGATCTAGGATTTGAATTCTGATGGTTCCGTTAGCTCCGTTAGGTGATTTTGGACTTAGGAGTGCGTCCGGAATGTGATTTGGAGGTCCGTGGTGGAATTAGGCTTGAATTGGCGAAATTGGAAATTTGGCGATTTCGGTCGGCAGTGGAAATTTTGATATCGGGGTCGTAATGGAATTTCGGAAGTTGGAGTAGGTTCGTAGTGTCATTTGTGATGTGTGTGCAAAATATGAGGTCATTCGGATGTGGTTTGGTTGGTTTCGGCATCGGTTGCCGAATTTAGAAATTTAGAAGTTCTTAGGCTTGAATCCGAGGGTAATTTGATGATTGGATGTTGTTTTGAGTGATTTGAAGGTTCGAATAAGTTTGTATATTGATATATTACTTATTGGTATTTTTGGTTGAGGTCCCGAGGGCCTCGGGGAGATTCCGAGTGGTTAGCGGATTTGTCGAAGTTGGAATTTGCAGTTGGAGCTGCTGCTACTGCTATTTTCGCACCTGCGGAAGAAAGCCTCGCAGGTGCGAGGCCGCTGGTGCGCGTGGGGAGTGCGCAGGTGCGAGAAACACTGGGCCAAGGCTGGGAACGCAGGTGCGAAGAATTGGCCACATCTGCAAGCCCGCAGGTGCGAGGCCTTGAGCGCAGATGCGGAGATGAAAATTTTGGGCTGGTTTCGCAGATGCGCACCAGGGACCGCAGATGCAAGTCCGCAGGTGCGAGAAAGGTATCCGCAGGTGCGGAAGCTGGGGGATTAAGTGAGTTGCACATGTGAGGCTCCTTGGACCGCAGGTGCGAGAAAATGGCCGCAGGTGCGACAAACTTGGGCAGAAACCATAAATAGAACCCTTCGCGATTTTGGTGCATTCTTCACCATTTCTATTTGATTTTTGGAGCTTTTGGGAGAGATTTGAAGAGGGAATCAAGGGGGTTTCTTTAAGGTAAGTAACAGTCTTCTTTTCCAATATAGGGTCTCTACTCCCTAGTTGATTTTATTTCAGACATAGGGTCTCCACTCCCCAGTCACTATTCAAACATAGGGTTTTCACTCCCTAGTTTATTTTATTTTAGATATAGTGTGTGCGCGCTCTTGTTTGCTTTTCCAACATAGGGTATCCACTCCCTAGTTGCTCTAATTTTAGATATAGGGTTTCCACTCCCTAGTCTCTTTTCCAACGTTGGGTCTCCACTCCCTAGTTGATTTTATTTCAGACATAGGGTCTCCAATCCCTAGTTTATTATATTTCAGACATAGGGTCTCTACTCCCTAGTTTTCTTTTCTAACATAGGGTCTCTACTCCCTAGTTTTCTTTTCTAACATAGGGTCTCTACTCCCTAGTTGATTTTATTTTAGACATCGGGTTTCCACTCCCTTGTCTTCTTTTCCAACATAGGGTCTCCACTCCCTAGTTGATGTTATTTTAGACATAGGGTCTCCACTCCCTGGTCTTCTTTTCTAACATAGGGTATCCACTCCCTAGTTGATTTTATTTTAGACATAGGGTCTCCACTCCCTAGTTTTCTTTTCCAACATAAGGTCTCCACTACCTAGTTGATGTTATTTTAGACATGGGGTATCCACACCCTAGTCTTCTTTTCTAACATAGGGTCTCCACTACCTAGTTGATTTTATTTTAGATATAGGGTCTCCACGCCCTAGTCTTCTTTTTCAACATAGGGTCTCCATTCCCTAATCCTTTTTTCCAACATAGTGTCTCCACTCCCCAGTTGACATTATTTCAGAAATAGGGTCTCCACTCCCTAGTCTCTTTTCCAACATAGGGTCTCCACTCTCTAGTTGATTATATTTTAGATAAAGGGTCTCCACTCCCTAGTTTTCTTTTCCAACATAGGGTCTCGACTCCCTAGTTGATTTTATTTTAGACATAGG